TCGAGCAAATGAATATTTACGGCAACAAGACTTTGGCACCAATTGCCGAGCGTATTTCCAAAGAATACAACATCAGTCCATCAATTGACCCACTTACTGTCAATTTTGGGTCGTTCATTTTAATCGAACTGATACGTGGTGTTCATTACTCAGCCCTAAAGAACTTCTATCATTACGATATTATTGGGATATTCTCCACTATCATCGTCTTCAAATATGGTCATCCTTTTAACAAGCGTATGGGTTGTGTTTATCTTACTCAACTTGTAACTGGAGTTGATGATTTTTTAAATGGGAAGTCTTATATGATTGCTGATCTAAAGAATGGTCATAGTTATTCATTACTTGGGCTGTTCACTTCATTGGTATGTGAAATTTTTGTTTTAATTATTGTGATTTTTTTTTCTTTTTTTTTTTTTTTTGATAGAATATTCTTTTGATCACAGGGAGTATTCAAGGAGAAATATCCTCTCACGGCAAATTTACCCTACGAAAAGATTAAAAAAGTCAAATTTACGGAATTCGCATCTTTGCCCTGGTCTTCCACGGTTTATTTCGAAATTTATACTTGTCAAAAGAATGAGGTGTTGATACGATTGGTATTTAACTTTGAACCGATGTTGATCCCAGGTTGTGGAGGCGAATATTGCAAATGGGACAGGTTTAAAGAGATTATCGGTGATCAAATTGGGTGCGATCTTTCAAAGGAGTGCACTTTACCTTAAATAGAATGATGAAAATAAAATAAATGACGTTACCAATTATCATTTTTTTTCTAAAAAAAATTATAATTATTTTTCATATATAAAAATTAAAAACCACAAAATAAACGGGTTTATAAATAAACGAAATAAACGGTTTTTCATCAGAATTTTACATAAACATAACTCGAGAATTTTATAATAAAAATTTATAATTGGTTTAAAGTTAAAATTCTTCCGTTACGTAAAAATCCTTATTCGACGCAAAGGGTTTTCGCGAAAAAAAAAAAAAATTCAAGTATTCAAAAAAAAAAAAAAAAAGATTATTGATAATACCACATTTCCTTTAATCAGTACAATGCCGTAAGTTTATAAAAATGTTTGTTGATTTGCATGTCATGTAAATCTTAAAGTTCAAAGGGCTCTATGATATAATCCCCTACTTATTCAAATTTCAATTGATATAGATATTAATATACTCTAAATTGTAATCATGAAGCAGGTTAAGTTTCTTACTCAAGAGTTTACAATGATTATTGGAATATACCATAAAATAATAATTAATTGGATCCTTACATATTCGCCGACAAATATTTAGTATTTTTCATGAAAAATTTTAGATATATATTAATGTTAATTAAAGAGAAAAATTATACCGTACACTAAGGTTATCAATTATAAAAATCATGTTCGTCAAATACATAATATTTTAAAAATAAATAAATATCCAATACCTTAAAGTACCTTTTAAATCTTTTTTAAACTAATAAAATTAAAAATTATATCAACACGCTTGCAAAATTATCTTTTTTACTAAGTGAGTGATTGACAGTACCAATTAAATTAAGGTTTATGCCAATTATCAAACTTTCGCGGTTTTGCCTTTAATAAAAATTGTATCAAGTTAGACAGTTGTCAAATTTTCATGGATTTGCCAGGACACCCTTATCCATCAAATAACATTCTTACAATAGATAGAAATTGTAAAAATTTTGTACCCTTTGGTTTCTCTTTAAATTACAAGGATTACATTTTTCAAAATTTTCTTTGTGCCTCAATGATAGGATGATCTTTCCTTTTTCTTTATTATTGTTTATTTTTTTATACCTTTTTCGGAGGTCGGTCTAATTTGTTGTTGTAAATGCTTTTTATTTCGTTAAACTGCGTTTATGTTCTTTTTCATTTAGATGATTTTTTTAGGCAAATTTAGGCGAATTCTTTCGGATTGTATCACTAAAGGTTGTATTAATTTTATTTTAAATAATTTTTTATTTTTATTTTTTATTTTTAGCTGCAGGTTGCAGGCTGCAGCAATTACTCTTCAAATTTCGGGTTGGCTTTCTTCGAAATTAAACGCACACAATATGTACTTCTTTTTTTTAATACTTATAATCTTTTTTAAGTATTTTGATTTGATTATTTTTAGCTCTTTTCCTTAGTCTATTCAGGAAGTATTATTGATTTTTTTCAATTTTATTTTTGATTTATGCGATTCGTGTAACGCCAATGACCGGCCATTATTATATACTTTATCATTACCTTATATTAACACTAATAAATACTAACACTAACGCTAAAAGGTAGAGGATAAGGTAGAGGATAAAGTAGAAGAGGAATCTACCTCAAGGAATAAAGGTTGTTTAAATATATTTTTTATTTAAAAAAAATATTTGGATCTGTCGCGGGTGGCACATGATGAAATTGATTTTTTATTTTTTTTTAAAAATTTAAAGAATTAAAATAAAACGATCGGGAGAATAAAAAAAATAAAGAAATAATTAAAAAATAACTTTAAAAAGATCGGAGGGGGATAAAAATAAATTAAAAAAAAAATAAATTTAAAAAGATCAGAAGGAGGAAAAAGAAATATAATAAAATAAAAAAATAATAAAAAACAATGAAATAATTAAACAAAAAGACTGAGGAGATAAAAATAAATTATAATTAAAAGAAAAATAAAAATTAATGACAAATTATTAAAATATTAGATAATAAAGATTATTTATATATTATAATAGAACCAATTTCAGATGCTCCTACATTAAAAGAATTATATAATAATAATTAGCAAAGGTATACTTTTGATGATGTGAATTTTTGATTATCATTTCTGCATTTATTCACTTTTTCGCTTATATACATACTCAAAGAGGCAATCAAGAACTTAAATTTGTTCTTTAGTTATACAAGTTTTTAGCAATCTCTATATATTTTGACTGGTTTTGGTATTGCATTTCTTGAAAATTGAATTTGAAGTTTACGTAGCTGTTTTATAAGCTACAGCTATAGCTATACAGCTATAGCTGCTGCTATATGCTGCTATATTACATTAGAATAAATTTGTGATTTAAGCTTTTCTGTATCACTTTTGTATTGTGTTAAATTTAACCATCATATTTTAAATAAAATATATTTTATTGATTGTTAATCTTTATTGATCCATTTTATTTTAAAAATGTTTTTTATTAACATAAAAATTATTATTTACGTCAATTTTTTTTTGTATTATATATTTTAAAATGTTTAGTTTATCAATTTATTTTGTTTATTTTATCTTTTTTTATGTGTTATAAAATTATTGTTTCTCTCATTTGTTTTAAAAAACAATTCAAATTTATATTTCTTATTTTGTATATTTATAAATACTGTAATTAATCTGATCTTTTTTAAAAAAAAATTTTTTTCTTTTATTATTTTAAAACAAATATCAAAAAAAAAATACAAATCAAATCAAATATAATATGCCTACTTAATTATCAACAATTTTGTAAATTTTAGATTATAGAAAAATTTTTACTTTTTTTATACAAATTGTTTCAAGTGAAATATAGAATCTTTGGTTAAATAAAACATATAAAAATATCTTAAGTAAAGTTATTTAAAAAGTTCAAAATTACTCAAATCTCAATTTTCATCAAAGTTGGTTTAGTATTTGTGAAGTTTATAACACTAATAATATACAAATTTATTGTTTTAATGTTTTGCATTATTTCAGCACTTTGGTTCAAGAAAAGCACCTTTTGTAATCTAAGTAATATTATTCAAAAGGTCTGAAATCACTCAAATTTCAATTTTCGTCAAGGATGGTTTGATATTTTTGAAGTTCATAATAATAATGATACATGAATTCACTTTTTATGCTATTTAAAGACTTTTAATCATTTTATTTAAAATTTAAATAGAATAAAAAAGTATTTAAAATGCTATTAGTATTATTGGTTAAATTTTGTCCAACTTTAATAATGCTTATTTAAAAAATTAAATAAAATAATTAAATTCATTAAAATAAATTTAAAATATAAAAAATAAATAAATTATTAAAAAATTAATAAATAAAATACGATAAAAATTAAATATTAATAATATAATTTAAAATTGAAAATCAAAAGAATCATGAGTATTAAACGAGATTAAAAAAAAATTTTAAATTTAAATAATATATTATTATAATTAATATCCACAATTTTTTTTTTATATTTATTATTAAAATAAATACAAATTAAAATAAAAATTAATGAAAATAATTAAAAAAAATTAATTGAAAAGAAAAATTAAATTAGAAAAATTAATTTAATTAATAAAATTAAACTTCCTTTTTACCAATATAATTAAATGTTTTCAAAAATTTGGTTTATATTTTTATTTATCTTAAATAAAATTTTAAAGTTTAATTGAATTAGTTACGCAATCAATTACTTAATGCTAAACGGGAACGAAGTCCCCCGCAAGCTGCAAACTCTAGTTCCAAAATATAAAAATCAAATTTTGTACAAGATGATACTAGAAAAAGATCATTTAGCGGCGACAGAGTCGCCGCATCTCGACCTGACCTAGTTAATTACATAAATAGTTAACTAAAATCCTTACTAATAAGTTACAGTAAAATTTGATCAACCGAACATTAAGTATTCCGTCTGGAACATATTATGACTATTTTCGATATATACTTTGACTGTGTTTGTGATCATTTCCTCAGTATTGTCGAGATAGAAAAGTAAATGTATTCAGATCAATTAATATGTTGTGAAGGTCGTCGGGCCGACAGAAACTTGCGACCCAGATCGTAAGCTGATTTTGTTATGTTATTTAAGTTTTTAAATAAATAATTATTTCGGAATCATAACTTCTGTGGCAGAAATTGATTTAGATAATTTTCGGATATCTGAAATTGAGATTCGAAATCGTTATGTCTAAAATTGAGTTTCAGATAAAACCTGAATCTCAGATATAAAATTGAGATAATGTCGATTAAAATCAATAATGTAAATGTCAATTTAATGAAAAAAATTTCATAAATAACTTAATTAAGAATTAAAATTAGCTAATAAAATTATTGCAATAACTAAAAATATCATGTTATATAAAAATATTTAATATAAATAAGTCTACAGTTAACTTTGGCTTCGAACGTTAATAGGCATAACGTTGATTGGTTAAAATAGTTTTTATTTTTATACACCAAACAACGATTAAATCTAACTGAGGTCCTTCCTAAGAAAGATTATACAACTATTTACTTTATACAATTCTTTGTGTAGTTGGTTATTAGTCAGTCTATATGGATACACGGTAAAGTTTGAAAGTGTAACTTGGAATTTTATTAACTCAAGATTTCGGACGTCTCTTCTCAAGACTCGTCAACCTTTCTTTGAACAGAGCGGATTTCGAGGTTTATATACAGAATTTATAAATATATAACGAATATATCAAAAATAACAATTTGATAAATATATATAATAAAACAAATATAAAAATGAAAACTAGTATAATTATTTTAACATATATAATTGTTATAAATGACATTTTTGACATTATATTTTCACGCAGCTACTGCGCCATTCGTAAATGCTGATCTCTTGCAACACCGGCAATTTCGGTTATAGCTTCGCTGATTTATATATAATTACAAAATGTCATTTTCCTAAGTCTTGCGAAAATTATGATTTCTTATTATATTATAATAATCGATCGTCAATATTATGAATTTATTATTAAAAATAAAATGTTCAACGATTACAAAATCGGTTTATGTAGACGTCATAGCCATGGTAAAGTCTTATAACGACTATAAACTTGCCCTGCATGACTAATTAATCTGTTTAGATCCCAATTTATCAAATTGAAATAAAAGATAAAGCGTGAATTATAAAGAAAATTAAATCCGCACCGCATATATAGACGAGATTTTTAAAATTCATAATCACATTTTTCTGAATCACAACGAATAATAAAAATGAATGTTCGAATTGAGTACTTTTAGTTAGTTATTTTGCTTTAACAGTCATAAGTTGGTTTATAAAAGTTTATATTTATCCATATTATGTTTCCTTTGAGAAAAATTCTCGGTCCACCATCTGAAAGTTTTCTTTACGGAAATATAAAATGATATTCATAGATGTGGTTTATCATGTTTAATTATAACCATTCACGTCATCATCGAAATGCAAATTTTTTTTATTATTTTAAATTTTTATCTTAGTCGGTATACCACACATAATAATTAATTTATGCTATATGCGATGCGAAATTTAATATTCAATAATATAATTTTATTTTACAAATACCAAAAATAGTAATATTTATTTATAAAAAATTATTGAATGAGTTCTGTTTCTGAAAAGTGTAAGAGATTATATAATTTTTTAATCCTTAATTCCTGAGTTATCCAGTCATATTTTCAATATTCACTGTTATGATACCGGTCGTTGGTATTTTCAAATGACTGAAGAAGACAAGAATAGGAGGAAAGGGTTCGGGCTGTTCGTGATATGGCTAGAGAATTTGTTAATAATTATTGAAACGAAAAGATTGGTTATCACACCAAAAAGATTAATGGCAAGAATAAAAGATGACTTAAACAAAAACTTTAAAAAACTAAATACTGCCAACAAGATTGAAAAGGAGCCGTGACTGAGTCGTGAAATTCTCAATTAAATAGAAGTTTCAACAATGGATGGATTTTGACAACTTGATTCTGGCTAAAACTCTATGATAATTTCAGTCGAAATGCAAAGTTATGATCGCTAATTTCAAATAAGAGACGCGACTAAGTTAACTGAGACTGCGTCATTTCAAGACAAGATACAGATGATTAGTAATGGACTTATATACATATTTAATGTTAAGTTTAAATCATAGGAAATATAATCAAATATAAAGCTTCTTCTAACTAAGAGCTATTTTTTATTTTAACAATCATACATATTAAATGATGTAATTGTCTCAATAATTGATTTTACAAATAAAATAATTGAGTCTAAACAATAGTCAAAATCATTATACAATTTCAACTAGTGACTTGAATTCAAATCTATAAGTTAGTGACAAAAAAATTTCAGTGATCACCTGGTAAAAGAAATTATATTAGAACAAATAAAATATATGGAACTAGAAGATTTACATGAAAACGTTTCATAAAATTCTGACAACAAGCTCATTAAATCTTTATTTGTAAACATTACTAAAGCAGAAATCAGAAAAACCATTAACCACAACAAATTGGATCAGCACAATCAACACAACATTCAACACCACACGGGCAGCTAGGACATTGCCTTTCCGCCAGGATTGAGTGTTTCTCATTAGAAAAAGGAGCTGAGAAAGCAACATTACTGAAAGCTGAAATGACGACGATAAGCATGAAAATGTGAACTTTCATGATGACTTTGAAAGTATTTGAAGGATTATATCACAAATATTTTTATAATATGTGAATTTTATAAACAGATTCTTGTAATGTAGACTCCCCTCCAAAAAATATCCGACCACCCGTCGATCATTGCAAATCCTAACATATTAAAATTTGAATTACGCCACAA